CAACAAAATGATGGGGCTGGCCTAAGGCCCATGAAATTCATAAGTAAGAAAGTTGAAGTACAAAGAATACAGGCCTTTACCTGTGAGAAACAACTCAGAGTCTATGTCCTTGTGCGTGCCTTGAAGCAAGGGAGACACTTCTTACAAAGTAGACAATCTAGATTTACTCTGATCATTCGACCTTGCACTGGATGAAGAACTAAGTGGAGTTAAATGATAAGTTACATTCAATTCATGGACATGTTTGACTTTGAACTAAAGCACAAAAAGAGATATTATAATACAATACCAAATGGCATTGCACTTTCTCGCACGCCTAATACCTTTGCTGTCATTGTGCAGTATTACTCCTTTGGGAATTCCACGAGGACAACCATTGCGAATGCATTTCCTCAAGACCCTATTTGAAGCCCCATCTTCAAGAATTTGAGGCCAACCTTTATTCTGAGCCAGGTTATACCCTGACTTCAAACTTGCTGTATTTAATCAGGAAAGGAGAGGAGCGCGTGTGCATCCCTGATGACAGCAAGACCAGGGCTCACCTCGTTGCTGTCTCATGATGCGTGCAGACATTTTGAGTTTTTTGAAGACCTAATATGTGACCCTGGTCCAATGGTTCTATTGGTTAGATATGAAAAAGGACATTATGTAGTATTTAGACACTTGTGAGATGTGCCAAAGGAACAAGGTCCACAAGCAACCTCCTATGAGAATTCTAAAACCACTACCTATCCTAAATGGACCTGACGAGTCAGTGTCCATCGACTTACTGATCTCGGCAAGACCTCCCTTCGTGGGATGGGACAAGTCATGGTTTGTGTTGACCTGTTCTCTAAGTACACAGAGTTTGCCCCATTACCGGCTGAGGCGAGAGTGCTTCTAATTAGAGAGGTCTGCTCAGAGAGATTGGATAGTGCCCATGAACACCCATACTCTATTGTTAGTGACAAAGACCCTTGATTCTGTAGTGATAAGTGGCAGTCCTACGGCAAGGACCCTCTGCTCTCTAGAATGGTCATGACATCTAGCAGTCATCTTGTAGCCAATTGATAGGGGGAAATGATGAACTTGATTATGCTCCAGCTGCTGAGCCTGTGATCACACCTAATCAACAAGATTTGGACAAACATCTGTCAAGTTCTCAACTAACGGATAGGACTTTGATGCAGACTACTACTGGATTTACGCCTTATTCGCTACGCTGTGGCAAAGATTCAAGACAGTCCCTCGATGGGATCATCGATAGGGCTAAGCCCTAGCTAACTCGTGACACTCGAGAGTTTGTCAGAAGCTATGAGTTGGACTTACATAAGGCACACCTAGACAAGAAGGATTGAACAAGTTAACAAAATGTTACATTGCTTGCCTTCCACCATCACACCGGGACATCGGGTTTGGGTAAAGAGGGCCGAGTTATCTGATGAAGTGGATATCTCCCAGAGGTTTTTGCCTTTGTATTACGCTCCATGCCAGGTTCTGGATACAGTGGGAGCTTATCCCTTTATTCCCGCCTATGTGCTTGATGTCCACCCCATCTTAGGACCTACCGTGTCTTTTACACATCAAAGTAGTTTCCTTTCACACCGGGTACTTCTGATGCATTTCCAAGCAGCCCCCCTCAGTTTGGTCCACCCATCCCAGGCAAGGGATATGAGGTGCAGGAAATTGTGGCTCAATGCCCAACTTCAAGTACCTTGTTAAGTTCCTCTTCCAACCACACACTGAAAACAGGTGGCTTACGTGGAAGGAACTTCTCAAGACAGCCAAGTCTATTGTACAGGCTTGTGAGGCGAAGCAAAAGGGTTTGTTACCCCACGGCTCACCTCATGGGCGTTGTCAGCTCGGTGGCCCTCGTTCCCTGGGAGAGTAGGAATGCAATGTTCTTGCGGTTTCTTAGTGGGCTGTAACACCAACTAGGACAATTTTGTAATTTTTCTGAGCTCTGAGTCACGACCGGTAACTGATACAGACCTAAATCAACAGGGACTTTTCTGCAAAATCTCTAAACTACTGCTAAACGGGTAGTAGGGTACTACTGGCCCTGAACTTTGTTTCACGAATCCGGCCTAAAGGGACTGTTGCCCTAGTACTGCCTCAGACCGGTCCTGTTGTTATTTCAAAGAAAAAACACAGACCCATAACTGATTGTCGGTTTTAGGTCCTAGGCAATCCAGTCCAGTAGGTAAGAGTAGAACGATAAAGAGAATGGGTTTTGAAGGGTTAGAGGTCTCTGTTTTGAGCGGCTTAGTGCTCGTGTTGTTGACGCCGCCAGGCTGCTGGAGCAGCTCTGTAGCTGGGCAGGGGCTGCTCGGGTTTCGAGCAGGCAGGGAAGCCGGCGCTTTGTCTGCTGAGCCTGTCGATACCATATCTGTGCTGCGGGGATGGGTGCTGCCATATCTTCTTCTTCATGGGAGATGTGTTTCTTTTTCTTGAAGCTGGAGGTTCCTTCTTCATCCTGGTACTCAGTCTGGCGGTGCTCATTCTGGGAAGTCTCCGACTCAGCGCTGGAAGCATCTGCGTCAATTCTGGACTGCACTGGTGCTGCCCAGACAGCAGAAGTGAGAAGCTGGTGGTCTGCAATATAATAAGGCTGGGCACAGTGAATTGGGCTGACCGACCGCCATAGCTGGCGATGTGGAGGTTGATGCTTGAGGGAGGAGGAAGACTACTTAATGACGCTCTGTTCCGAGTTAGACTTTGTCCAACTTGAAGGTGGTTTCCTCTCGGTTGTGATCACATTGTCAAATTGAATCAGAATCACAAAAGAACCCCTCTTAATGAAGCTCTTTAAATTTGTGATTCTGGTTAACAATGTGCTGGAGAGTGGCAAGAGATTGTTGGACTTCTGCTGTGCATATCTCAACCATCAACCTGGCTTTAAGTTTAACTTAGTGTGAACCCTCTCCAAGTCTTCCTTGTCATCGTGGGATGTTTGTCGCGGGGACATCATGATGGTGATGCTCTGCTCGATTGCGTTCTCAAGCAGTCACATAGCAGCAGCAAAATTGGATGCTGCGGCATCTCCCTTCTGCCTTGTCCAGCAGGGAAGAGAGGGGTTAGAAAACCTACCGTCTTCACCTGAATAGAACGCCCGGTCATTATAGCTGTATTTGGCGCAACTTTGGGTCCAGATGCAGCGATAATGACCGGGCGTTCTATTCGGATGAAGAAGGTAGCAGTGTGCGATCTAGACTAACTTATGGAAAGTGATGTCATTCACTTGCTGAACTGAATCATGCCTTTTTTTTTTGTTTGTTTGATGGACAGCTCCAGTGACCAGTCTATTGGTTGGGAGATGCACCTGCCGGAAAGTTCGGCGGAAACTGGGTCCAGCGTCCCATATGCTTGAAGCCTTGAATGCCTTAGCATTCAACTACTCCAGAGTCATCCTTCCTTGCTTGGACTGTATATAATTGTCACTCTTTTCTACCGATAGGTAAGTCCTATTCTGCCAGTCCTTTTCCTACCCCTTACTTAAATTAAACAGCCTTGTAATTGAGACCCGCAGTCAGCTGTTTGGCTTTTTTTTTTTTTTTTGAAAGGGCGACGACCTTGAGATATCGTCATCGAACTGACAGTCAGAATCATAATTTTGATCGCATCAGGGTTCAAACTTGGGCCTGTATTTCATCAGTTCATGGGTGTACCATTTTGGCTAGGCCTGTTGGTACCCATTTGAACTCCTGCCTAAATGGATTTCCTTGATACCGAATGAGGTTTCCATGTTCTTTTCCCGGTTATGGTCACCTTTTCTGTTATGACCTCATCCTCCGTTCCGGTCGAGAGAATACCACACACACACACACACACACTCACACATACCGACATTCGTTTCTTTTTCCAACGCATACAATTTGGAGGGGCGTCTTCATCTTAATTCGCCATGGTTCATTCAACCCTACCAGGAGAGGCGCCTTCTTCGTTATCCCTGGTTCGTTCAAGTCTACGTGGAGGGGTGGCATGCCATTCTGTGAACTTGCAGGCACAGTTCGGGGCGCATGCGGACAATATAGCCTCGGCTATGCCCGCTGTGAACGGCTGGTCACCGCCAGCCTTTGCCTTGAGAACTGCAGTGCACATGCATCTTGTATTCATCCATTCAATGAATTTCAATGCACTTCCTAGCCACTCGTTGTTCCGGCCTGGTTTTGAGGTAACATATCTGTGTGTTTGTGTGTGTGTGTGTGTGTGTGTGTGTGTGTGTGTGTGTGTGTGTGTGTGTGTG